GGAAACCAGCAGGAACCACCCCAACAAGGCCAGCAGCAACAGCAGCACAATGACACCCAGGGTCCTGGAAACCAGCAAGAGCCACCCCAACAAGAAGGCCAGCAGCAGCAACAGCAGTTAAATGGCACCCAGGGTCCTGGAAACCAGCAGGAGCCATCCCAAAAAGAAGGCCAGCAGCAACAGCAGCAAAATGACACCCAGGGTCCTGGGAACCAGCAAGAGCCACCCCAACAAGAAGGCCAGCAGCAGCAGCAGCACAATGACACCCAGGGTTCTGGAAACCAGCAGGAGCCACTCCAACAAGGCCAGCAACAGCAGCAGTCCAATGATACTGGAAACCAACAGGAACCTACCCAACAAGAGGGCCAGCAGCAGCAGCAGCAGCCAAATACCACCCAAGGTCCTGGAAAACAGACGGGACCACCTCAACAAGGAGGCCAGCAGCAGCTAAATGTCTCCCCTCATCCTGTAAACCAGCAGGGGTCTCATCTAGAAGGCAAGCAGCAGCTATCACAGCAGTCAAAGGGTTCTACTGGTCTTGGAAACCAGCAGGGACCATCTCACCAAGGAGGCCAGGAGCAGCTAAATGTCCCCCCTCGTTCTGGAAACCTGAAGGAGTCTAAAGTAAAAGGCAAGAAGAATCAGGAGGAGGAGGACCCATACGGCACTGTTAGTCCTGGAAACCAACAGGAAGTACCTCACCAAGGAGGCAAGCAGTACCACCACCACCGCCACCACCACCACCACCACCGGCACCGCCACCACCACCACCACCACCGGCAGCACCAACAGCAGCAGCACCACCACCAGCAGCAGCAGCAGCAGCAGCAGCATCAACAGCAGCAGCAGCAGCAGCATCAGTCAAGTTAGCCTCCTCGTCCTGTAAACCAACAATGACTCTCTAATCAGGAGGTATTCAGTAACATCATCCCCCATTTCATCCTGGATGACTCTGGGACCACCATTATCCTCCTTAGGGATAGAACATGAAGCCCCCCACCAGGCCTATCACCCCCATAATCAATATTCAATGACACCTAAATTGTACTTCAATCTCCAGAAAAGGCCCTTGGTACTTCAACCTACCAAGTTCAGTGTGCCAAAACATCTGATGGTAAATGGGGAAATTACATGGTAGTGAAGCCTCTTTCTAAATATTTCTGATCACATATTTTGGGGTAGGATAGGAAGACACTGTAGTGTTAAGAAACTCTCCAAGGTAATACTCAGTTTCAGCACCATTGACCTAAATTTTCCTTGTTCTAAATAATAACCTGTCTTCTTGTTGGTTCCTTTAAGCAGAGCAGTGTTCTCCCTCTTGTCCTCTGCCTCTTAGACTCAATGATTTCTCTTTTCACAGTGGACCCTGATCACTCTTGGCTCAGTTCTATCTCTCTGCACAGCATTCAGGTCCAGAACTCCTGCCAAATGGTATTCAAGTCTATGCTCCTCATTGTCTTCTATCTTTCAAAATGTTCAGTGCCCAGTTAACCTATGCTCATGTTAAAAAGCAGCCTAGCTGAAGAGAGGGTATGAAGCCAAATCTGAAAGGCACATTCTTTCTTCTTCCCCACATGCCTCACCAAAACTACAATCATAATTTCTTTTGACATCTTCTTGGAAACATTTATGGGTACATAAGTGCATCATCCTTTTTATCCAGCATATGATACCATAAATTATATGGAGATCTGTACTTTGCTCATCTCAAATAACATAATTCTTAAAAGTTCTTTCTCATTAGCTAGGCACAGTGGCCCACATCTGTAATCCCAGTGACTTGGGAGGCTGAGGCATAGGGTTGCAAGTTTGAGAGCAGCCTCAGCAATTTAGCAACTTAGTGAGATTCTCAGCAACTTAGCAAGACCCTGTCTTAAAATGAAAATCATATAGAGCTTGAGATGAGGCTCAGTGGTAAAGCACCCCTTTCATTCAAGAAGGAAGGAAGGAAGGAAGGAAGGAAGGAAGGAAGGAAGGAAGGAAGGAAGGAAGGAAGGAAGGAAGGAAGGAAGGAAGAATCCTTTCATCATAGTTCCTATACATATACAGATTTTGCCAGCCTGCTTTCTCCTTTCCTTCCTCATTCCTAAGTTCCATTGTCTTTATTCCTTCCTCCTAGTCTTTCTTTCCTAATTTCATTCTCTTTTTCTTTCTGTCTTGTGTTTTTACCTTATGTTTATTATATTTACAACTGTATTGTATTCCATTTGGGAGACTTGTCATGCCTTCTTTAATCAAGTCCTGTTATTACATACTTAGCTTATTTTAATTTTACTATTATGGCTACATTTTGCAGTGACTCTTTGAGCATGTAGCCTTGTTTATTTCCAATAGCAACCAGAAGATAAACAAACTAAGAATTATCCTTATTTCCACATGTTAACAATCCAGACTTCAAGCACATTGTGCACTAGGAACATAACAAGTATACTTAAATTAGGAGGGAAAGGGGGTAATAACAAGAGGGAAAGGAAGAGGAGGCAGGCTGTGGCCTGCCTTTCACCAGTGATACCAACAAGTGATTATCAGTCTCCTCCCATATCACGTCTCCCCTGTAACCTTTCATGTTTGTTTCAGATGCCCAAGAAGAAGATGATGTCCTTCAGACAGCTATGCCATCAAAACAAGGTGGTCGTAACTGTTTCTTCCATATCCCAATAAAATAATAAGTATACCATTTCTGATTTCTCTTTCTCTTCCTGGGGATGGGATAATCTGAAATTTGGGGGTTCTGGGCACAATGTAAGAAAACCTAGGATCCTTCCCATGCATGCTTCCAACAAGTGGCTCACCTCCTTCATCCACAAACCAGCTGCCAGACAAAAGACTTCTATTTTCCCCTGACATCCCTAGATTCTGTAGGACAAAAAGAAATTTTTAGATTATTTTCAAAATTTTTGTATTTTTAATGAAATGGGGAATACATAGCAAATGCAGCTAATTTGTACAGATTGTAAAATACTTAAAATTCCCCACATAGTTAAACCAGGTTTTGTGGGATACAAATGCCCTTGTAGGGTGCCTCTGCCTGGATCCCATCCTTCTCTCTTCACATTTTACCATTACTACCAAAGCCCCCCACCATTATTTATGCAAACTCAAGTGGATTTTATTTTAAAAAGAAGCAGCATGATGGATTTAAAGGAGTGAGGAATTTGGAGTCCTTTAGGCCTCATTTTATGATTTACCTTGGGTGGGCATGTGATTCAGTGGTAGAGTGCTTGCCTATTACATGTGAGATCCTGGCTTCAATGTGAGATCACATGTAACATCCTATTACATGTGAGATCCTGGCTTCATCACAAAAAACAAACAAAAAAATCATCTTTATTGTTTTAGTCTCTGGATACCTAACATTATTGTTAAAATTTTGAATGATGACATCATGCAAAGACATATTGGGTTTTTAGAAATTTCATATAATTTGAGACACATAGTAAGCTGATATTTCTGTAACTTAATGAATGTGAGACATCATTTCTCATTTCCCATGCATACTTAGACAAATCAAGAAATACTAATTATTTTAACATATTTTCATAAGGAGACAAAACAAAGTCCTTTTAGGATATTCTAAGATCCCCAGGAAACTTGCAAAATTAGTGTGAGCACAAAACATCTAAACCCAGCATTTGATCTTGGAAAGCTGTTAAAAATGCTAAAAGGCCAAGAACACATCACTGAATAAAATTTCAGTGCATAGCTCACTGTGAAGCAATACTAAAGTATTGAACAGTTCAAGAAACTTTCCACTTGAACAGCATAACCCTACAATAATCGGGCATCAGGAGCAGACTCACCTTTCCAAGGAAACTTTTGTTTTACAGATAGAACAGAATGGGGACTATGGTAGGGGCAGGAGAATGCTTCAAAAGTCAAAGAGGATGAGAAGATATCAGATTCCTAAGACCCCATCCCTCAACAGCTGAAACAAAGCCTCCAACATCAAAGTTTGACTTACTAGCTTCAAATTTTCCTCTATTACCTGGAAGTTCATCAAGAATGCCAGGTGAACTCGTTTTGGAGAATCTAATGTCTGGTATCATTAAAGATGTCTACAAAGAAAAGGATAATGAAGACTTGAGAATTAGTTGCCCAGCAAACAGACTGTACTTCTGCCCAGCAACTCAATGTGAGTGCCAGTCCTTCATGTACAGCTGATCTTCCTGCATTAAGCACAACTCAGCAAGAAAAAGACCCAATAGAGAAATCAATGGTTCAGAAAGACATTCTCAGATGATTGTGCTAGTTTCTTTCCCAAGCACTGCAAAGACATCAAAGGTAAATACTGCTTCACCAAGTAACAGTAACATAAATGCATCTGGAGCTATGACTCTACAGGAACCTCAAAAGTTAATTTATGTTGAAGTGTGCCAGAAGCCCCCTACAGAGCCAGTCCCAGTTGTTGGGCAGCCCTACGGGACTTTCGCTCCAATGTTGTGTCTGTGGCACATGTGTCTATGTTTGCCAAGTGTGATCCTATATCCATAAATAAAAGTAGTGCCAGTCCCAGTTGTTGGGCAGCCCTACGGGACTTTCGCTCCAATGTTGTGTCTGTGGCACATGTGTCTATGTTTGCCAAGTGTGATCCTATATCCATAAATAAAAGTAGTGAGTATCTCTGGTCATTGTTGTTGCCCAAATTCTATCACTCATGATGTGAGTTTCCACATGCATTCATCAACAGAAAATTGACTCCAGCTTTCTCAGTGCCACAAGGTTGTCCAGGATTCTCTAGAACCAGCCAAAATCAGGGAAGCCATCATGTTGTAGAACTCAGGTAAGCCTAGATTATAATCTTATGAATATCCTTTGGGATTATTGGAACAAAAGTGGTGACAGAATCCCGAAGGGAATCCACATGAGCTACAAGATGCACATGTCCTAGAATGAATCATGCAGCTTCATGTTACTTTTTCCAGTCTTTGACCCTTCTCCTAAGTTTTCTATATGCCCCTACCATAGTCCCCATTCTGTTCCATCTGAAATCAGACTTATTTCTTGACAAAGTACTTTAAATCATTGATGGTTAATTTTTCCCAATCATACACTTGAATAAGGAAGCTTGATATATGCTTCAAAGCTTCAATTGTGTTGCACTCCTGTTTTTACAGCCTTTTTAACACAGAGAATTTTCTCGGCCATATTCTGAAATCCACTCCTACTCACCTGTCTTTGGAGACTGGTTTATTGGAATGCTATATTCTGTCTCAGTTCTCCTGTGTTAACTTATCATCTTGTTCCTGACATTTTCCTCTTGTATTTTTTTTCCTTGGAGACATCCTTTGCTTATTTTTCCAAATAGTTTTTTCTATTCTTCATCATCTCATCAGGGTGGGCTTAGCACTGAGCTCCAAGGAAAAGAGCTGTGCTCTCTTTTGTGCCCTGTTCCCATCGGATCGAGTCTTCAACACAACTTTGCTTTCCAAGGTGTGGAGAAGTGGTGACTGCAGTCCTGGATTAACAGGCAAAATGGCAGGGATAAGCTGAGGCAGAGATCATATGAATCTGTCTGGAAGCAGACCTAGCACTGGGTTTGAAAGCAAAGGTCTAGACCAAACTGCTTCTTCCTGCTCCAAGCAAAGTTTTCAGTCTTGATGATGATTGGAGTTGAAGGAGGAGTGACCCAATAAATCACTGAAGTAGTACCAGACTGTGAACATTTTAGTCACTATGTTAAGGAATAATAGTAGAAGGCTTTCTCAAACTTATAAGCAAATTCCCTTAATTTTCCACTTCCATGGCTCACTGCCAGGTCAGTGAGACATAGTTGATTCCTAGGATAAAGGTGTGACTTTGAGTATCCTTCCAATTAATCAGGTCCACCACTCACCCCAAACATCAAACAGAGATAGCAATGGTGAAAAGCAAGAAAGGAGCTTTGATGAGTGCAGATACCCTACAAAAACAGGGGCATCTTTGTCCTCATCCCTGCCTTCCAGGGTCAGGAAAAATAGCTGAGGCTGACTTCAAACTAGTGCTCCTCCTCTCAGTCTTTGGAATTATAGGTATGTGCCACTGCATCCACTTATTCTGAGATTTTATAGAAAGGAGAATATGAGGGTAATGTTGCAAAAGTAGAGGCTTTTCACAGCTACCCAAGCAGGTGTTCTCCACCAGGTGTGCTCTGTCCATAATCACCTCTCCATTGGTCAGGCTGGGCCTTCTCAAGATAGGACAATGACTGCTGTCTGGGTGATAGCTTTGGCTCATTACAAGATATTTATCAGATCAGGTCTTGTTTGAGGAATCCGTGGCGACTCAGAGCAAAGGAGAAGGTTGAAAATGTTGGCAGAGTTGCCAAGTCTTTAATTCTGTTTTTAGCCACTCATCTGTAGGCAAAAGTAAAGAGGTTAAGTCCTTATTCTAATTTCCTTCTTTCTTGTGTCCATTAGTCAGTCTTGAGGGTCCTGAGCTGTCAGCCAATCTGACTCTGCAGGTTCTTGACCCAGTGAAAACTAGTCTTAAAACAATAGCTGAAGCCAGTAATAAAAAAGGGGGAACATGCTTAAGTGTGAAAGTAAAAGTTCCATTATAAATTATAAACCTGAATATAAAGGATGTCAACATGTGAAGATGTCTCACTACATAAATCATGAAAGGGATACTCTCTCCTACTAAGTACTTCCATGAGTATGGACTACTAAAAACACCCCACATGATTAGGTCAGGAAAAAAAAAACATTCATTTTCTTGTTTCTATATGAGTAAATGGTCCTTGTCTAAGCCATAAGTTCAGGTTTCTCTGCAGAGGAGCCTGGTGGATAGGCTTTGGAGTCAGGCAATTGTGTCTATAACACATTCACTATCAATTTTGGACTTTTGCAAAGAGCCGACGAGTGCACATCTCCAGTTACATTCCAAGGGGCCACTGACTTCCCCTTTAATTGCCCAACATGACATTCTTAAACTTTTCTTCCACCCTCACATTAGCCCATCTGTCTCTGGTTATACTTCCCTGTTGGGAGTTCAAGGCCAAGTAAGTGAACCCTGTACTGGACAAAACTCCAGTGACCCTCCTGTTTGCAGAATGCACAGTGGTTGTCTCCCTGCTTTCTAGGGCCCTCAAGATTCCCTCCCTCATCAGGTGTTTGGGTGACTCACTGGAGTTGTAGGGCCCTTAGAGAGACTTCCATTTCCAGGGTCCTGACTGTCCTTAGAGGGCAAGGACCAAAATATTAGCTATTTTTTCCAAACCCTTTTATATTCCTTCACTTTCATCTCCAAATTTGGGTTGATTGTTGAACACCCAGAAGACTGGCTCCCCCAGTCCTGAGGTAGAAATAGTGGGTTTATATTTTGATGTTGTAATTTTACAGTTATCCCTTCTGCTTAATTGGGGTCACTATTAGTATTGGGATTCAGGGTAATATCTTGTCTGGTCAATGAAGACTTATTACCTCAAGTTAAGGCAGATTATTCTGTTAGAAGTTGTACTTCCACCTAACACTAAGAGGCAAGTGATGCAGTTTTAAAGGAAAATACAAGTGAAATAAACAAGGGCAAAAGTACATTCAGTTTGTACAATAGTTTTGAACCAAGAAGCAATCTTTATAATAACACCAATGTACATGTGATACCTGTTTAGTCTCTGCAAAACCCATAATAATTTGTCAATTCTAATACACATAACATATTTTACAAATTCTATCTACTTCTGA